TAAAGAAAAACTCGAACACTTGAATTCATGCTTTTTGACAGGGAGAAGAGCAAATGCAAGATGTAACAGTATTTCTGCAATACAAGTTTGATAAGTTCAAGACCGTGAGTTTTGAATTCTTTTATTACACAAGTTCTGTAGTTAGAGTTGTCAAATATGCTTTTTTTGATAGCAGTTCAAGTATTTGTGATACTCAAAGAACTTCTAAAAACATTTCTGGTGCTTTTTCCCCCCTTCTGTGAACATATTCCTACTTGAGGACGGAAGGGACCTTAAACTGAGTGATTACACCAACATTTTTCTTAATGGCTATGGGTATTAGGAAAAAAAGATTTATCGTACACATTTTAGTACAGAGAAATGAAACAACAGCTGAACTACATCAAGCATATTGATGTAGACACTTTTGGGATTTACATTTCACTCAGCCAAAACCTTTTAAAACCAAGGCTTATTCTTCCTCATACTTAATTGTGTAAAATAGCACATTGTATTTTTTCCACTCTGCCCCTAGAGACAAGGCCTATGTGACACTTACCTGTTCACAGCTTCAATGGAGTAATAAATGCCTTTTGAAAATGGAAGCAAAAGACATCAAACAAACGCTTCATTATGTACCTTGATGAGCTGACAAATTTACAGTGCATCTAATTTCTACAGCAAGTGTCTTCATCTCAGCATCTAGCCATTGATTTTGCTATGTCTTTGTTTTGTAAATTAGAAAGCATCTATATGAAAAGGATTTTTATTCAACTGCTAATCATTCACGATCAAGTCACTGAAAGATGGATAAAGTATTAACACATTTCTCCCACAAAGTCATGTTTTTCAGGACATAGTAACAATTACACTCATTTCTGAATATCATCAAGCTTCTCAAGACGTGACTGAATGGACATTACAGGAGACAGAGTTTGTTACAGGCCAATGAGACTATACTATTTGCTACAGCATTTCTATTTGGCCCAAACCACCAGAAGTACTTGTGCATTGCAGCGATAATTTCTTATTTTCATTCCGCTGAATTTACGAGTTTATGAGCTGTTCATTCACATGTGATTCTTCAGTGATTTTATAAACAGGATTTCTAACACTTACCAACACTTTACTGTATTTTTGCTGTTAGTTCCTCAAGAAACACTATTACAAGCTTTTGTTGGTTTTGTCACACACACACAGTATGTTTCCAATAGAAACGTGCGTTACCCAAACTTTAAACCAAGTCTGTAAAAACTGCTGTCACACTGACCTCCAGTGGCATTACGACGAGCATAACAACTCTGTGTCATTTCAGATCAGTAATTTAAAAAAAAATTTTTAGTTTTTTATTCCTTTCATCCACACAAAACCCAAAGATGTGTTTTGTTTTATTTTGTTTTGTATTTCCTCAGGATAAGAGGGAAAGGTGAACAGGAAGGAGCCAACGGGAAGAACAGAAATTGAAGGAGGTGCCCAGAAACTTTTTTTTTTTTAGTTGGAAAAAACAGAATTGACACAAGTCTAGGTCCTTTTGCCCTAGCATGAAGCTGTTCAATCTGTTTCACAGATTTGGGTTCTAAAGGTTGACTAAAAGGAAGGAGATACAGCTTATGAAGCAAACACTTACATTCTTCTACACAGTTAGTATTCTGTTGCATTTAAACGTTATAAAGATGTTAATATTTATATACCAGTAAAATATTCCTATACTTTCAAGCACCTGTTTTACTAGCTCTCCAGGCTGTAAGAGGGTTTCCAGCTTAGACAAAAACATAAGAACAACTGAGGTCAGGAGGAGAGGGGAACCAGAACATTAGAGAAAAAGACAATTGGAGCATCTTTCATGTGTAACTTCTATACAACAACAATTAAATTCACAAGCTATGCCCAAAAATCTTTAAAAAGTTTTAACAACATTATTTCATAATATTGTTATTTAGACAGCATCCAAGATGTTACAAGACGATTAGTAAGACATTGTTATTTTACTTGATGGGAAAAATCATCACAACTAATTCATTAACGCAAAAAACAGCAAGTGTGCATGGTTGATAAATATGCAATCTAACATCAGTTTCAATCATGGGCCATTTACTGCGAGTATTCTGGACACTATTTTCTCAAGTATAATCAGTTATTTTCCTTGGAAAGCAATGCAGCCACTCTGAATTTCCATGTTTCTTACGTCATGGCATAGTTTAACTGCTGATTGTTTTCCATTTTATTATTGATATCAGAAAGCCATACAGGGATATTACTCACTACCTAAAAAGAATGTGGATGTTTTCAAATTGTGCAATTAAATAATGCAAACAAGTTTAGAGCAAAGATGACCACTAAAAAACAAACAAACAAATAAAAACCTACATATTTGTTCCTTTTACTTTAGTCTCTGTAAAAAAAAAAAAAAAATCTTCAACCTCAACATCAGTCAGTCGGACTCTTTCAACAGAATTACACATTATGTATTTTCAGTCATGGCTTGACTTCATTAAGCTCTTACCAGTAATGAGGTTTGCCGGAATTCTGTCAGTAAGGAAATCTACCACGAGGATTCGACTTGTTGCAAAGAGAACTCCTCCTTGCATGTAAAATTCATAGCGAGTGTTACTTGCAACCTCATTGGTAACCCGCCGAGGAAGATGAACAACTCCGTCTGACCTCAGCTGATCAATAAAATACTCCTAAAACAAATGCAGTAAAACCACAACAGATTTCATTCTGACAACTGATGAAATGGATTCAGAAAGAATTGCAATTAGTCTTATTTCATTAGTTTTGCAGAGCTGTCCACGACATAAAAACATGACAGTATAAGATACTAGGTAAGGAAGTCAGAATTATGGTGATGTTTTATTTTGATGTTTTAGTTTGCTAAGTTTCAAACCCTTTCAGGGTTTCACTTAGAAATATTAGTATTTTCAACAGAAGTTAGATAATATTTAAGAAAGTACAAGCCTCTGACACTCGATGGATCTTAAGTACCCTGAAAATTTTATCTTGCGTTTTTCACTGTATTTTAACAGCTCTTTTTTTTCAGGGAGCAGGCAATACTAACTTATGGCCCAAGAAGTGACAAGGGCCCGTCGCGGCCCGCCAAATCGCCGCGGAAGAGCCCCCAGCCGCCAAACCCCATCTCCAAGGCGGCAGCAGCCGGCGGGCACCCTCTGCTCGGGCCCGGGCAGCCGCTTCCATCGGTCCTTCCTCCTTCTCCTCTCACCTCCTCGGCAGGGCTCGTATTCAGCACCAGCACCAGGCTGGCGGGCTCACTGTAGAGGCGGAGGAAGCGCAGCAGCAGGCGGTCGATGCCGAGCCCGCGGGCGCACACCACCAGCCCGTCCTGGTGGAAGAGGTCCAGGAAGATCTGGCTCTCGTGTTCCAGCAGCGCCGCCATGACCGCCGGCTCCAGCCCGCCACAGTGGTGCGAGCTCCCGGCCCCGCCTCGGCCTCGCTACGGCTGCGGGAGCGGCGCCCTCAGCCGGCTGGAGGCGGTGCCTCCACTCGTAGTTGAAAGTCTTCCGAGGGCAGGGGTTAGGTACGGAGGTCAGTTTTTATTACAAATGGTTCTTTTTTAGTCACAGACTAGAGGCATTTCTTAACCAAGGAAGCTCGCTGATGAAATGTGACCTTCTGTCTTACATATAAATGTGATCTTCTGTCTTACATACTCTTGCATAACCACAAGTCTATGAGAAACAGAGTGGTTAATGTATATAGTTCTTGTATCTTGCAAAAGAATGGTCTAGCAGTTCATGTCAAAGAGGGTTTGAAGGGTAAACCTCGAGACTGGGGTCTAGGGGATAAGAGAACAAAAGACTTTCCAAAATCTGCTGACTTTTACATGGGACAAGTCTCTGATATCTGGGATAAGAGAACAAAGGGGTTTCAAAATAACTGCAAACTATTGCATGGGGCTCTGCATGGGGCTCTGATATCCAGCTAAGAGATGACCAAATAAGGAGAGAGGGGGAAGCTGAAGAATGACCAAAGGACAAAGCCTGGGAGGAAGACTACAAGCCTTCAGTACGAGTGACCCCCAGAGGGACCACCGGAGACCGATACGCATACTAATTTTAATATGAAGGAGGGACTGACTTGTGGAAAACGGACTCCACAGATTGTAAAGTAGGTATGTTTATTCAGCGCTGAGCAGCACGGGGGTAGTCCCACCAAAGTTGTGCGCACCTGACGCAGCAAATTGCCATGGTTATATGCAGTAAAGTTACATCTTAATGAAGGTTCACAATACGCCTATACATATTCATAACCTGTCCCCACTTTGTATTAACATTAGTTCCAAGGAGTCATTTCCATAAACTCCTCCCATCTGCACTTGCACAGGGTATTCTGGTGGTGGTCTTCGGGGGTTGTGGGGATGAAGATTGCTGACTTTCTTGTCACCACTAGTCGACCTTTTGTCTTTGAGCAGACTCAGTTGCTCCTTGGCTCTTGTCCATCCACAGGACCAGTTTCTGCTAGTCTCTTAAGATAGGTTCAATCTCTCATTAAGACTGACCTTGGTAAGGGGCCCAAGGCTTCTTGCTGTAGTTAATTTGCATAATGCACCATAGTTAGCAAAGACACTAAGTAGCATCCTAGTTTAATGCTGTCAATAGTATCCAGTACCAGGTCTTGTTCCCATAGTTGTTGGCTTCTGCAGTGCTTGCTGAGCACCATATCACGGGTCTTAAATGTATTGTTGGCAAGGGTATAGTAATGAAGCAGTTTTTGTCTTTCATTGGGACTTGGAAAGGCTGATCTCTCTCAAGAGCTTGATGTTGTCTGCTTTTCTTGATGGTAGCCATCATGGCCCTCAGTCTCTTGCTTGTGTGTGTTCATACGGTTTGGGAGTCTGGCTCCATGTGGTTTGCAGTCCCGGTTCTGTAGTTTTTGACTACTGTTTCTGGTTTGGGGGGCAGAGATGGCTTCCTGCATTGCTCTGGCTGGCCCGCCCTGCCCCACCCCCTTCCCCCTGCCGCCGCTGCGTCCTGCCGCCGGCTCACCCTCCGCTGCCCGCCGCCCCCCTTGCCGCCGCGTGGTGCCGGCCCTCCCCCCCCCTCCCGCCGCCCACTTCCCCCGCCGCCGCCGCGTGGTGCCGGCTCGCCCTGGGCCGGCCGCATTGAAGCTGTGAGGAGCTGAAGAAGAGCTAGTGAAAGAGAGGTATTGCAGCAGGTAGGCTGTGCCTGTGAGGTGCCTGAGGATCTGCCTTTTTTTTTTTCTTTTGTGGCTGCTTCTTGTAGTCTCGGAGAGGTGAATCCTCTCCGGAGTGCTGAGGAAAGGCGGAGGGTCGTCAGCCCAGTCAGTGTCCCTAAGCAAGGGTCCCCCTAAGGCAAGTCTCTGAAGTGCTTCCCCTGTGTTTTAGTGGTGCTGTGGTAGGCGTTGCTCAGAATCTGCTGAGGGTCTGAGGTGTTATAAGTTGCTCCCTTAATTAATTTTCAGAGGGCATTGTATTAATCATATAAAAGAATTTATTGAGTAAGCAAACAGCAAGCAAAACAGCGCTGGGCGGCAGGGGAATCTCTGCTCCGCCATGATTCAGAGATCGAAGCCGAAATTCCTTTAAGTGGTATATTCTTTATTGCAGCGCTGGATGCACGGGGGATCTCTCCACCTATCGTGCATACCCAAAGCGGAAAGCAGTCTTGAATTTATACAATCAATCTATCAATATTCTACAAGCACCTATACATATGCATTACCTATCCCCGCCTTCCCTCGCTTCTCATGCTAATAAGCCTTTTGGCACCTTGCGCCTGCGTAGAGCCTTCCAAGAATTGTGGGTAGAGGTCTTTGGGACGTGGGCAGGGGTCTCTGGGAGGAAGACCCCGAGTCTTCCTCACAGTGTACTTTTCACCTTTGGTCAGGAATCTGCTGAATTGGCACGTTTCTTAATTGCAAGAGCTGGTTGTTGCCACTTCTTCCGTTTGTTGTATCTTTATAATGAATTCCAATGTCCAGTTTTGAGATTTATAGTCCTTACGTTTGTTTCTCTGTCCGTCTGCCACTTCCTTATCATGAGTTCCAGTGTCTTGTTTCGAGATATACAGTCCATGTCTGGGGATTGTCCTTGCCTCCCCAATGCCTCCCCAATACCTCCTTAATCAGCCAACGGCTCGCATCTCACCCCCGCCAGGGTCCCTTTTTATATCTTGGTAATTCCAGGATTACGCAGCACATCCTGGTATATTCTGCGACTGCGCGCGCTGTTGCTAGGGGGTCGTCTCTGTCCCTCTGGTGGTCGTGAAGATGAAGGCCATAGTCTTCCTGGCTCGACTTCCTTTCCTCACTAGGTCATGTTGACCCAGCATGAAGCAGGAAGGCAGAATGTTATCATGCCGGCTCAGCAGCTTATCAGGAATGGCTAGAGGAGCTTTGCAACAGTGACTTTAAACAAAAGATGGAACTAGGATGCGAGGGGGGGAGAAGGGGAGGAAACTCCCTCCCCCTTGCCGGTTTAAGGGCCCTCTCTCATTACATTAAGTAAAGGAATTTCAGGCATTTTACAGTTTCTTATCTCAGCAGGAGACCTTTACTACCCCCACTTTTTCAAGCAAGACTCCTTGTCCTTGTAATACAAAAGACAATGAACAAACATTTATTATATATTACAGAGGTGAGGCTGTTTGGGATAGAGGAGCAGTGTGGTGGGTGATTTGTTGAGAACACAACGATCATTTAATCCCTTTGTTTTCCCAGGTGGTGTGGGTGATACTGGCTGCACTGTTGGGGCTTGAACTCGAAGAGGAACAGGTGAGCACAACTGTATGTTGCATCAGTAGTAGTCAGCATTGCAGAGGAGGTGGGCATCAGGGCCAGCATGCTAGTGAATGCTGGTGCTCTGTTTTTGCAGATGATGATGAGCCCGGCAGTTGACTAAGATGTCTTTCAGTGCCTGTGCATTTCTTGAGGTGGAGGTAATTTACCATCCAGTAATCTTAGGGCTAAGTTGAGCAGCACCTGGTATTTGCATATCTGGGGTGGCTTATGGGAGCTGGGAGCCAGAGCAGCATGGAGCCAGTGGGCTCAATATACTCGGTGCTACTGTGAGGGCGGTTCAGGCTGAGTCACGTTCAGGCTGGTTGTGGCTGGGTCACCAGGCTAATAGAAGAAGCAGGGGGTATTTTGTAGTGTGAGTGCGCGCACCAGGCAGAACAGTGCCCTTCTGTTGATCTGTCTTGTAGTGTTGCTTCTGCAGTGTGTGTTCTGAGTTATGCTCTCCTTGGATCTTGATATCCTTCTTGCTTTTTGCACTGGACTGACTAGACAGGGGAGTTGGTAGCTGTGCCAAAGGTCCTAAATGCTTGTTTTGTCATCATGGTTCTTCTTGTCTTGCAGTCGCTGGTTAAAGTGCAGAACTATTTCAGGTCTTGTGCATCATACTCTGTTTCAGATCGCATCTGTTTCCATCCTCACTCTTGCAGAAGTCATCTGGGCCGCATCTGGAGCTCTTGCTTGGGAATTCATTTCTTAAATGTCTTCCTATGGGGTTTTCAATCCCCATCCTTCTGGTCTCTTGTCTTGAAGGCAGGCATTTTATGCCTCCATCATCCCAGTTCTGGCAGTTGCTTCCAGTCGCATGTCATGACATTTGAGTCTCTCCTTGGGTCTGCTGCAGAGCAATTGATTTGACTTGCTGTTGCCGTAGGGCTTCCCTCTGGGGGTCACTTTTTCTTGCGCCTTGTGTTCTGTGTTTTGTTTGTAATGTTTGTAGAGTGCCTGTGTTTGTATGTGTATGATGACAGCTAACGTGGCAGCCCATGGGTGTACTAATACATTGTCCGGACTGTTTTGGCAAAGACATCTGGTCTGCCTCTGGGCACATACTGAAGGGCAGCTGGCACAGTCATCTCTGTGGTGTTTGGCAGATGTGGAGGTGGGATAGTTGAGCTGCTTGTGAGCAACTGCTTGCAAAGTGCTTGAACAGTGTGCTTGAGGAGGTCTGTTGAATCTTGAAAGCTTACAGATATGGGGTTTTGAAATTTTTATTTTTATTTCTTTCCCGTCCCCAGTAGAGTGTAAACCTTAGGAGGAACTGGTCACAGGAAAGAACTCCTTCTGGAACTGTCCAGCACTCGGTAGGCAGCTCGGCTTGATCTACTTCTGAGGTGCTGAGGCAAGGGGGCTGCTGTTTTGAAATGATAACGTTGTAAATGGGGTCCGTTGTGTTGTTGAGGGATGGGTGCTAATGCTGGCAGCTGAATGATTATCTTGTGACTGTTTTCAGTTGTTAAAGCTGAAACACAGTGTACAACACGGGACTTGACCAGAGCTGCTTTTGGCAAGGTGAGCAATGAACAGATGTAGCAGGTACTTCAGTGGTGCAGTTGTCACTGCAGTTACTTAACTACACAAAATACAGTAAAAATCCTGTTTATATTTCAGAGGTGTTGTAGCTGGCCTAAGAGAGCAGATGGAATCATCTGTGTCAAGGGCAGGTAAGGGAGCAGAGGTAAGGGAGCAGATGAGAGTAACTGTCCTAGCTGTGCTGTGGCTTTGGATGCTGCTTCAGCTTATGCTTTTCTTTCTCATTTGCAGGTGTCTCGCACAGGCTCAGTGGGGCCAAACTGCACTCTGAAGAGCAGCACGAGAAGGGCAGGCTCATCTTGAGCTGGGTTGGAGCAGAACAGCCAAGTAGCACAAGGTGACTATGAAAGGTGTCCGTCTCGCTTTGCAGGTGCCGTGGCAGGCTCTCCACAGAAGTGGCTGAGGATTTGAGATAAGGCCAGAGAGCGACAAGGAGCAGCACATCTTTGGGGCCTGCTTCTGGGGGGGTTTGGGACCTGCGTCTGGGGGAGGGGTGGGAGCTGCTTCTACACTGTTGGAGCCTGGGTTTGGGCAGGGAGATTTGGAGCTGCTTCTACACCTTTGGGGCTGGCATTGGGGGTAGGGGGTTGGGTGCTGGTTGTATACTGTAGGGGCCTGTGTTTGGGGGGCTTGGGGCCTGCGTCTCGGGGAGGGGTGGTAGCTGCTTGTACACCTTTGGGGCCTGCATCTGGGGGTGTTGGGAGCTGCTTGTATACTGTAAGGGCCTGTGTCTGGGGGGGGGCTTGGGGCCTGTGTCTCAGGGTTTTGTGAGCTGGTTGTACACCTTCGGGGCTTGTGTCCATGGGGGGTTGGAGCCTGCCTCTGGGTGGGGGGTTTGGAGTTGCTGGTGCACTGTAAGGGCCCGCATTGGGGGGGATTTTGAGGAGGCTGTACACCTTTGGGGCCTGTGTTTGTGGGGGGTCAGGACTATATATAGGGGGTTGGGTGCTGGGTGTACAATGTAGAAATCTGTTTCTGCGGGGGTTGGGAGCTGTTTGTACAACTTTGGGGCCAGCATCTGGGGGTCTCTGGGAGCTGCATGTAAACTGTAGGGGCTTGTGTTTGGGGGGGGCTTGGCAGCCTCCCCCGGGGGGGAGGGGTGCGAGCTGCTTATATAGGGAAGGGGGCCTGCCTTGCAGGGGCTGGGAGCTGCTTGTAGAATTTGGGGCCCTGTGTCTGGGGGAGTTGGGGCCTGTGTCTCAGGGGGCTTAGGAACTGGTTGTATACCTTTGGGGCCTGTCTCTGGGGGAGAGCTACTTGTAAACTTTTTGAGCCTGTATTTGATGGGGGTTTGGGAGCTGCTTGTACACTTTTGGACCTATGTTCAGGGGGGTTGGGAGCTGCTCATACATTCTAGGTGCCTCTCTTTTGAGAGGGGTTGGGGCCTGCATCTGTGGATGGTTGGGAGCTGCTTGTACACTTTAGGGGCCTGGGTCTCAGAGGGGGGTCTGGGCTGTTTGTACACTTTTGTGGCCTGTGTTTGGGGGGGGTGGGTGCCTGTGCCTGGGGGAGTTGGGAGGTGCTTGTACACTCTAGGGGCCTCCATTTGGGGGTCTTTGGAGCCTCCCTTTGAGGGGGAGGGAGTTGGGAGTTGGTTGTACACCTCTGCGTCCAAAGTCCTGGGGGGGGGTTGGGGCCTGTCTCTGAAGGGGCGGGTTGTGAGCTGCTTGTACACCTTTGGGACCTGTGTCTGGGGAGGGGGGACCAGGTCTGGGGCCTGTGTCTGGGTGGAGTCCAGTTCTTGGGAGGGGGGTGTGGGAGTGGGAGCTGCTTGTGGGCAGTTTGGGTCTGCATCTGGGTTTGGTTGGTGCCTGCTTCTGTTGGCAGTTTGGGGCCTGCTTGTAGACTTCTGCAGCCCTCGTGTGGGGGCTTTTCTGTAACATTTGGGGTCTGCGTTTTTGCTTTGGGATGCATCTTGAGCTTTTGAGGCCTAGCTGTAGCATTTGGGGCCTGCGTCTGGGGCTTTTCTGTAGCATTTTGGTCGAGTGTTTGTGATTTGGGGCCTGTATCCAGGGTTTTGCCTTTTTTGTAATTTTCATCTTTGTGTTTTGTAATTTTTCATCTTTCATTGTCGGTTGTCTGGGGTTAGGGGCAGTTTGGGGTTTGGATTAAGGTCAGTGTCATTAGCGTTAGGGGGTTGATAATAAGGGTTAGGGTTGTGGTTAGAGTTGTTAGGTTTAAGGGGAATAAGGATTTCAGGGTAAGGGGATCAAGGTTGTGAGAATAAAAATGTTTTTGCGCAGTTACATCCTTTAGAGGGAAGGAAGGTGGTATTGAGATAAGCTCTCTTATCACTGCAAGCTTAACAGTGTGAAATGGGTTCATCTGATTCGTGTCAATACGGAACAATGCTAGGGCCACATGATATGATGAAATGAGACCTTCTGTCTTACATACCCTTGTATAACCACAAGTCTAAGAAAACCAGAGTGGTTAATGTATATAGTTCTTGTATTTTGCAAAGGAATGGTCCAGCAATTCGGGTCATAGAATCATAGAATATCCTGAGTTGGAAGGGACCCTTAAGGATCATCAAGTCCAACTCTTGACACCGCACAGGTCTACCCAAAAGTTCAGACCATGTGACTAAGTGCACAGTCCAATCTCTTCTTAAATCAATAGGGGTCAATAGGGGATAAGAGAACAAAGGGGTTTCAGAATAACTGCTAACTATTACAACTGCTGCACGGGACACTATGCAGGTCTCTGACATCCAGCCAAGATGGACAAAGGAGAAGGACAAGGGAAAAGCCTGGGAGGAAGACTACGAGCTTTCAGCATGAGAGACCCCCAGAGGGACCACTGATAACACATGCACCAGTGGGAGGGTTTGGATTCCGTGACCTAATTCTAATAATCCTGCCTTTTATAGAAGTAGTAATGAATATGTATTAGCGTAGCAGCATAAAAACCTGGAGCCTGCTGTAACTTGTGTGCCTCTTGGTGGAGCAGAGACTCCCGGCACACCCAGCGCTGCTTGCTTACCTCTATTCCTTTAATAAATTGTAAACTTCAATTGCAATCCTATTTGGGAGTTTTATTATTTATAATAACAGACAACCTTGTAAAACGCAGACAACCAGAATCCTTACAGCAATTAGGTGGAAATCACGGTGTAAGAAACATTACCACCTCAAAGAGTAAAAACCTCAAAAGAAATGTGACTTGTAACAGGCCAGCAGCTGTGTATTTTCTGTGAAGCACCAGATTATGAACCTTGAATAGTACAGTTAATGGGGAAACAGGGGAGGGTCCCGGTCCTTGGCAGAAAAAAAAAAGTGTATAAACTGTGTATGGAATTAGTAGGCACCCTCCTGCTTGCGGGACGCCCGCCATCTCAAATAAAAATGCTACTGTACTGAGATCCTCGAATCAACCTATGTTATTGGCCACAGATTGATTCACCGTTTTAAGGTTTCAGGGATAGGGTGCTAGGGTTGGGTTTCAGGGTAAGAGTTTTCAGGGTTTCTGTTTAGGATTTTAAGGTTTTTGGGTTGGAGTTTTAACGGTTAGGATTTTAAGGATTTGAGGGTTAGGGTTTTACGGGTTTCAGGGTTAGCGTGTTAGAGTTTTATAGTTTTTTGGGTTGTAGTGTTAATATGTTTTTTAGGGTTAGGGTCTTAAAGTTTTATTTTTGGTCAGTTATTTACAGTTAGGGTTTTAAGATCTTATTTTTTTTTTCAGATTAGGTTCTCCAGGGCTAGGGTTTTGAGTATCTTAATTTTGGGGGTTTGGGTTTTGAGCATCTTAATGTTTTCGGGATAGGGTTTGGAGCATCTTAATGTTTTGGGTTTGGGCTTTGAGTGTCCTAATGTTTTTGGGTTAGGGTTTTCAGTATCCTAAGTTTTTGGGATAGGTTTGGAGCATCCTAACAGTTTGCGTTAGGGCTTTGAGCATCCTAACATTTTGCGTTAGGGCTTTGAGCATCCTAACGTTTTGGGTTGGGTTTGTGTTTTGAGCATCTTAATTTTTGGGTTTGGGTATTGAGCATCTTAATTTATGGGTCTGGGTTTTGAGCGTCCTAAGTTTTTGGGTTAGGGATTTTAGGCATAGGTCTTCAGGGGTTTCGTGTGGTAAATAGCTTGGGTTAGGTCTGTAGGGGTTTCGAGATTTTTTAGGGTTAGGGCTAGAGGCTTTTTTGTAAGGGCGGTAAGGGCTAGGGTTACAGTGAGTGCTGGTAAATATAGTTCTCGAACACTCGGCCTGTCATTGGCCATGCCGGCTGTCCGGGGAATGCTGGTAGGTGTAGTTTTCCGGCACCAGGAGGCCATGTTGGGTGCCCAGAGCATTCCGGGAGATGTAGTTCTCGGGACTCTGGACGTCCGGGAGGCCATGTTTGCGTTCCCAGAGCATGCTGGGAAGTGTAGTTCTTGGATTCCAGACTTCCGGGAGGCCATGTTGAATGCCCAGAGCACAGCGGGAGACATAGTTCTCAGGAACTAGGGTTAGGGGCTAGGGCTGGGGATAGGGTTAGGGTTTAGGGTGAGGGTGAGGGTTAGGGTTAGGGGTTAGGGTTAGAGGGTTAGGGTTAGGATTACGGTTAGAGGGTTAGGGTTTGGGTTAGGTTTAGTGTTAGGGTTCGGGTTCAGGTTCGGGTTAGGGTTGGGTTCAGGTTCAGGTTAGGGTTGGGTTAGGGTTAGGGTGAGAGTAGTAAGGTTAGGAATAGGGTGAGAGAATTAGGTTAGGGTAAGGGTAAGGGTAAGGTTAAGGGTTAGTGTACCGGTTAGTTTAGGGTAAGATTAAGGGGTTAAGATGTGGATAAGGGTAAGGGTTAAAGGGGAAGAGGAAGGGGAAGGGGAAGAAGGAGAAGGGGAAAGGGAAGGAGAAGGGGAAGGAGAAGGGGAAGGGGAAGTGGAACGGGAACGGGGACGGGAAGGGTAAATGTACTGGCCGTCCCGGTGTTCAGTCTCATGCAGAGGGGAGGCTAGCCATTCCGAGCTCCCGGGTGCCTCCGTCCAGAGGTGAGGAAGCAGACTGTCCCGAGCCCCTTGGTTCCGGTCTTGGGAGACAATAATGCTAGCCGCACCAGGGTCCAGAGCCGACCTTGGGTGTCTCGGAGACGGCTATCCAATGGCACAGGTATCTGGCCACATACGGTGCGGTGCTTGCTGTGCGTTGAACGAGGTTGCTGCTGTCAAGATGTTCAGGGACCGGCTGTTCCGAAATCTGTGGACTGTGTCGGGCGGCATGCCGGCAGACTGTCTCATGTCCCGGGTGTCCGGCCTCGATCGGCGTGTTTTCCAGCAGTGCCGTGAAGCAGGAGGCTGGTGTCCGACGGCTTGGGGACTGACAGTCCTGTTTACCAGGAGTTCCGAGCTCCCGGGTGCCACCGTCCGGAGGCGTGGGAGCCGACTGTCCCGAGCCGCTTGGCTCAGGTCGTGGGTGACAATTGTGCTAGACACACCAGATGACCAGGGCTGACCTCGGGCGGCTCGGGGACCGCGATCCAAGTGCACGGGAATCCGGCCACATTCGCTGCGGGGCTTGCCGTGCCTTGAGCCGGGATGCTGCTGTCGAGCAGTTCGGGGACCAGTGGTCCCGCAATCTGAGGACTGCCTCGAACAGGGCAGGCTGTCCCGTGTCCTGGGTGTCCAGCCTCGATCGGCATGTTGGCCGGCCGTGCCATGAAGCGTGAGGCTGGTGTCCGCTGCTACTGGGACTTGCCGATCTGTCCAGGGGGGTTCTGTCCAGTCCGGAGCGGTAGCCGTCTGTCCCGAACCCCTAGGCTCCTTTCCTGGGCGACATGTGTGCTAGCCGCACCTTGGTCCGGGTCCCATCTTGGGCAGATGGGGAAAGGCGATCCCACGACACTGTTGTCCGGCCACAAATGGTGTGGGTGCCAGGTGTGTCGAGAAGCTGGAGACTGTCGTCCACTGGCTCGGAGGCTGCCCGTCACGGAGACCGGGGATTCAGTCCTGTCTGGAGCGGCAGCCGTCCGTACCGACACCCTGGGCTCCGATCCTGGGCGACGTGTGTGCTAGCCGCACCACGGTCCGGGTCCCACCTCGATCGGCTCGGGGAAAGCGATTGCAGGACACGGGTGTCCATCTATGGGCAGTGTGGGGCCGGCTGTGCCGAGCGCCTTGGCTCCGGTCCTGGGCAACGTGTGTGCTAGCCGCACTGGAGTCCCGGTCCCAATTCTGGAGGCTCGGGGACCACAGTCCTTGACAGGATTGTCCGCCCACGAGTGGCATGGTTGTCAGCCGTGTTGTGAAGCCAGGACTGTCGTCCGCTGGCTCGGGGGCTGGCTGTCACTGAGACCGGGGGTTCAGTCCTGTCTGGAGCGGCAGCCGTCCGTTCCGAACACCTAGGCTCTGGTCCTGGGCGACGTGTGTGCTAGCCAAACCGCGGTCCGGGTCCCGTCTCGGGCGGATCGGGAAAGGCCATCCCATGACATGGTTGTCCTGCCATAACCGCTTGTGTGCCAGCCTTGCCGCGAAGCGTGAGGCTGTCGTCCCCCGGCTCGGGGGCTGGCAGTTGCGGGGACCTGGGATTCTGTCCTGTCCGGAGCGTTGCCGTCCGTTCCGAATTTCTTGGCTCCTGTACTTGGAGACATGTATGCTATCCGCTCCGGGGTCAGTTGTACTCAAAGCCTTCCTTTGGGGGCACTTTTGGATGGGTGAAAAGGGCTTTGAACGGGTTTTTTGGGGCCGTGTTTTGAATTCCTCTCCCATGCCAGCTAGGGCTATGTTTCGGTTGCTCAGAAAGAGCGAACCCGGAGGGTCCAGTTGCATGTGTGGCTGCATAAAGGCTCCCCTGGGGAGTTCAGTTGTACCCAAAGCCTTTCTTTGGGGGCACTTTTTGATGGGCGAATGGGGCGTCCTAATGTTTGGGTTAGGGGTTTGAATGTTGTACTTTTTTGGGTTAGGGCTTTGGATGTTAAGCACACTAATTTTAGAGTTTGGGTGTTGTGTGTCTTAATGTTTTCAGTTTGTGTTTTGAGCGTCCTAAAGTTTTGCGTTTTGGTTTGGGTTTTGAGCATCCTAGTGTTTTGAGTTAGGGCTTTGAGCATCCTCCTGTTTTGGGTTAGGGTTTCGAGCATCTTAATTTTTGGTATAGGGCTTTGAGCGTTCTAATTTTTTCGGTTAGGGCTTTGAGCATCCTACTGTTTTGGGTTTGGGTTTTGAGCATCCTAAGTGCTTGGTTTATGGCTTTTAGGCATAGATCTTCAGGGGTTTCGTGTGGTAAATAGTTTGGCTTAGGCCTGTAGGAGTTTGGAGTTTTTTTAGTGTTAGGGCTTGAGGCTTTTTTGTAAGGTCGGTAAGGGCTAGGGTTACAGTGAGTGCTGGTAAATGTAGTTCTCGAACACTCGGCCTGTGATTGGTCAGGCCAGCTGTCCGGGGAATGCTGGTAGGTGTAGTTTTCCAGCACCGGGCTTCCGGGAGGCCATGTTTGGTGCCCAGAGCATTCCGGGAGATGTAGTTCTTGGGTTCTGGGCTTCCGGGAGGCCATGTTCAGTGCCCAGGGCATGCTGGTAGGTGTAGTTTTCCGACACTGGGTTTCCGGGCGGCCATGTTGGGTGTCCAGAGCATTCTGGGAGATGTATTTCTCAGAGTCTGGATTTCCGGGAGGCCATGTTGAGTGCCCAGAGCTTGCCGGGAGATATAGTTCTTGGGAACTAGTGTGTGGGTTATGGGTTTGGGGTTAGGGTTATGGTTTAGGGGCCGTTAGGGTTATGGGCCGTTAGGGTTAGGACTGACAGGGTTGGGGTGGGGTTGTTGTTGGGGTTTGGGTTAAGGTTAGGGTTAGGGGTTAGGGTTAGGGAAGCCGGAGGCTGTTGTCCACCGGCTCGGGGACTGGCCGTCCCGGAGAACGGAGGTTCTTACCCGTTCATGGCATAAACCGGCCTTACCGAGCCCCAGGACTCCAGTCCCGGCCGAAGTGTTTGCTAGCACACACTAGTCAGGGTCGGACCTTGGTTGGCTCTGGTATGGTGATCGCAGGACCCACGGGCAGCGTGGGTCTGGCTGTCCTGAGCCCCTTGGCTCCGGTCCTGGGCGACGTGTGTGCTAGCCACACTGGGGTCTGGGTCCCATCTCGGGCGGCTCGGGGAGGGCGATCTCACGACACGGTTGTCCGGCCACAAGCGGCATGGGTGCCAGCTGTGTCGTGAAGCTGGAGGCTGTTGTCCACAGGCTCGGGGGCTGTCTGTCCCGGGGACCTGGGGTTCAGTCCTGTCTGGAGCGGCGGCCGTCCATCCCGAAAACCTAGGCTCCGGTCCTGGGCGACGTGTGTTCTAGCCACACCGGGGTCTGGGGTCGACTTCGGGCGTTTCGGGGACGGCGATCCCAGGGCCTGAGTGCCCAGCCATGGGCGGTGGGGGCTGGCTGTCCTGTGTCCCGAGGGTCCGTCCTCTGGGA